ATATAATTTTTAAAATTTTATTTTTATTTTTATTATTTTATTTTTATTTTATATTAATTAATATTATTAAATATTAGGGATTGATGATTTGGCAGATGACTAGGATGCTATGTCAGCATTAAATAATATTGTTTTTCGTTCAGGGTTTTATTTGCTAATTTTTAAAAGTATAGAGTTTTAATTGCCAATTTTTAAAAGTACAATGTTTTTTTGGATCAAAAAAAAGTATAGGATTTAAATTGAGACGAGAGAAAAGTACAGGGTTTTAAATGGAATTATTCCTTTTATTTTTCCATAGTATAAAAAACGACGCGCAGTTCTGGTCCAAGATATATAGACGACGCGTAGTGGTACATAAAAGCTTCAAGTCATAACAGAGCGACACGTCAGCAGAAGGAGACATGAACGGCCATAATCTTCCCAACACAAGGTGGAATTTAATTGGCCGAAGTCGTAGATCGGTGAAATATGATTGGTCCACGTCACGCAGATGACATGGTTCTACTTTACATCGCCTTCCATAATAAGGAACTTCTTTAAGCGCTGCACTCGGACACCTGTTTATAGCCTCGGCCCCCCTCCCCTCGAGACGCAATTCAAAAAACGAAACTCAGTTCCCATAGCGAGAAAGAGAGCGGAGAGAGAGAGAGGGAAAGATATTTGTCACTATTTTATATTTTGACACGTATTTTTTAAAATATATTTTAAATTTCGTGTATTTTTTTGGAATTCTTTGTAAAATTCATGATTTTAATTCGAATTCCCTTAGTTTTTTTTTTTAAATTTTAAATTCTTTATATTAATTTGGAAATAGATAAGAAATTCGTCTTGCGTTGGCGATCGTCTTCTTTGGTGAGTGATTCCGAAATCCACTGTATTTCATCCGGATCTGTATGTGTTTGGTTTTCTTTGTTCCGCGTTCTAATTTTCTTTTTTTCAGTGGAAATAATCTGGATCTCATTTCTGGCGGTCTGCCGTTTAGATCGCTAGTCTTATATATGCTGCTACTTTGATGTTTAGTCGGACTGCTTAAGTCTGATGTAACGTTTCATTTGCTCGTGAGAGTCTGAGATTTGATCTCCTGTAGCGTTGAGTTCCTTATCGCCTTAGCTTCTGTTTGAGTATTGACCATGATTAATCTGCATTTCTTGCTGCTGTTGGGGGGTAGAAATGAGAAACAGTGTTGTTGTGCTTTTCATGTGGATGAGGCGCTCTCAAAACGTTAATGGCATTAGATTCCATGTTAAGAAATGCTTGATGTAGTTTCAGCAGCCTCAGCTATGCTTAACATCAGCTTCTTCCTCTTTGGGTGTAATCACAAACACTTAGGTTGCTTTCGCAAATTACCAGGGAAATGGAAGTTTGAAGTATGGTTTTGAAATCGTTGTTGACTGATTGGAATTTATGCTTCAGGATGCCTGTATGCTTCCATTGCGAAAGAAGAGGCCACAAAGTTGGGAACAGTGATAGGGATAGATCTTGGTACCACCTACTCTTGTGTCGGTGTTTACAAGAATGGACATGTTGAAATCATAGCCAACGACCAAGGTAACCGTATTACACCCTCGTGGGTGGCTTTCACCGACTCCGAGAGGCTGATCGGTGAGGCTGGAAAGAATCAGGCGGCTGTAAATCCTGAGAGGACCATTTTTGACGTCAAGAGATTGATCGGGAGAAAGTAATATACTGTTGTTTATATGTTCATGTGTTTTATTTTCTCCAAAAAGAAATGTGGCTAAACTGTTTTCTTCCGGCAGATTCACCGACAAAGAGGTCCAGAGAGACATGAAGCTTGTACCGTACAAGATAGTGAGCAGGGATGGCAAGCCGTACATAGAAGTACAGATCAAGGATGGTGAGACCAAGGTCTTCAGTCCAGAGGAGATTAGTGCCATGATCTTGACTAAGATGAAGGAGACAGCTGAAGCATACCTCGGAAAGAAGATCAAGGATGCTGTTGTCACTGTTCCAGGTGAGCTGAAATAACCCTGTTTCATAATCGTCGATCCATGTTGTCCTAGATATCTGTACGAGTAAAGTGAACCTTTCTTTTGTCCTTTCCTCTGCAGCGTACTTCAATGACGCCCAGAGGCAGGCCACCAAGGATGCTGGTGTTATTGCAGGGCTTAATGTTGCTAGGATCATCAATGAACCTACAGCTGCTGCTATTGCCTATGGTCTGGACAAGAAAGGTGGGGAGAAGAACATCCTTGTCTTTGACCTTGGTGGTGGTACCTTCGATGTCAGTATCTTGACCATTGACAATGGTGTGTTTGAGGTTCTCTCCACAAATGGAGACACCCACTTGGGAGGTAAGTCAGTTGGGTCTAAACTCTAAAGATATTTTCCATTCTTTTTTCGAGTTGTTTCATGATGAATGATCCGTTGTCTCTGCGCAGGAGAGGACTTTGACCAGAGGATCATGGAGTATTTCATTAAGTTGATAAAGAAGAAGCACGGAAAGGACATCAGCAAGGACAACAGGGCACTTGGTAAGCTAAGGAGGGAATGTGAGAGAGCGAAGAGAGCTCTGAGCAGCCAGCACCAAGTCCGGGTTGAGATAGAGTCCCTTTTCGATGGCACCGATTTCTCCGAGCCTCTGACCAGAGCTCGGTTCGAGGAGTTGAACAACGACCTGTTCAGGAAGACAATGGGACCGGTGAAGAAGGCCATGGAGGATGCTGGTCTTCAGAAGAGCCAAATCGATGAGATTGTCCTTGTCGGTGGAAGTACCAGGATTCCAAAGGTTCATTCCAAATGTTCAGCAGCTTCTCAAGGACTACTTTGACGGCAAAGAGCCAAACAAGGGTGTGAACCCTGATGAGGCTGTTGCTTATGGTGCTGCTGTTCAGGGTGGTATTTTGAGCGGAGAGGGTGGTGATGAGACCAAAGGTAATGTTCTGTCACTTTATTCCATCTTTGTTAGGGTTGGGTGTTTTGGGTTTCGATTCGGTTTGAAAAAGGGTTATTTGATTCTATGAAATGGGTCCAAATTAGAAGCAAATGTTAATCGGCTCGGTTTGGAACGTTTAACCGAAACTTGATATTCACGCATACATTTGTACATTTAGGTGGATAATTCGGGTTTTGGTTAGGTACTTTGTCGACTTGCTGTTCGATATTCACCGGGTTTGGCTTCGGTTGGGATCAGTTTCGTTTCTAACCAAAATGTGTGTTGTATATACAGATATCCTTCTTCTTGATGTGGCTCCGCTCACCCTGGGTATCGAGACTGTGGGAGGAGTGATGACGAAGTTGATCCCGAGGAACACAGTCATCCCGACCAAGAAATCACAAGTCTTTACCACTTACCAAGACCAGCAGACCACCGTCTCCATCCAAGTACTGACTAATTTACCCCTTTCTGTTTTCTGCCATCCTTATGTTGGACTCATCTAATAAATATTTCATTCAACACTCGATTAGGTCTTTGAAGGTGAAAGGAGTCTGACCAAGGACTGTAGGCTTCTCGGGAAGTTTGACCTCTCTGGAATTGCCCCTGCCCCAAGGTTCGTTTGCATACTTTTTTTTTAATGATTTTACTAGGGATGAGTGTTTTGGTTCAAAAATTTAGTTTTGAACCAGTCTGAACCGATTTAATTTGATACAAATTTTGTAGAACTGTATAAACCGTTCTTGAATCAAATCCGATAAACATTGAACCAAACCAAGACCCGAAATATCTATACGAATGTATATGTGAATATCAAGTTTTGGGTGTTTGTTTGGTATTCATATAACAAAACCGTGATGAAATGGTTAGTATTTGGTTCTAGTTTGATACGATTTTTATAGAATTGTTCTTGAACCGAAACCAACAAATACCGTATCGAAACACGAGATATTAGTTAGAAAATTGGATGTGTCATCATCTTCTTCTTGATGATAATTGATATATGGGTATCATGGCAGAGGGACGCCCCAGATAGAGGTGACATTCGAGGTGGATGCAAACGGGATCCTGAACGTGAAAGCAGAGGACAAAGGGTCGGGAAAATCGGAGAAGATAACGATAACGAACGACAAGGGAAGGCTGAGCCAAGAAGAGATAGAGAGGATGGTGAAGGAGGCGGAGGAATTCGCGGAGGAAGACAAGAAGGTGAAGGAGAGGATAGACGCGAGGAACAGCCTGGAGACGTACGTGTACAACATGAAGAACCAAGTGAACGACAAGGACAAGCTGGCGGAGAAGCTGGAGGAGGAGGAGAAGGAGAAGATCGAGACAGCCGTTAAGGATGCCTTGGAGTGGTTGGACGATAACCAGAGCGCCGAGAAGGAGGATTACGAGGAGAAGCTTAAGGAGGTGGAATCCGTTTGTAACCCCATCATCTCTGCTGTCTACCAGAGGTCCGGTGGGGCTGCCGCAGGAGAATCGACCTCTGCCGATGATGACGATGATTCTCACGACGAGCTTTAAGATGACCTTTTCTTGTATTGTTTGTTGATTGACGACGGCGGCAAAGGAGACAGTGAGAGTGAGGTCGGGTACTTAGGTTTGAAGTTTTGGGGAAGGATGCAACATTTTTCTTTCTTTTTATTCTCTCTCTTTTAAAGTTTCTGAATTTTAGAAAGGAAACTGAGTGTTGTTTACATTAGCTATGTCTCCCACCCCAAAACGCGTTCGCTTACACAGCAATATTAATGATCCCCCCCCCAAAAAAAAAAACCGTGCTATATATATAGATATACACACACATATTTGTAATTAAATATTTTAATGTTACAGAATTTCACGTAAAGGACAATGTAATGATTAAAATGGTACAGCTAAATGAATCATCAATACACGAAAACAAAAGAGGACAAGAGGGAGGGAAGCTGTCTTCTGCTTCAACTGACTCTTGAACCAACATCTTTGGGTTTTTTTTATTACACTCCACTTTCAACAGAAAAGAATATAAATTTCAAGACATCTGATGATCAGTTAAGAGTAGAGAAGCAAAATGATCATAAACCGGCGGTGGGGTCTCCAGATTTGGCAGCGACCACTCCCATTCCGGAGGGTTGGGACTCAGCTAATGCGACACTGTCTCCGTTTAAGCAGTCAACGATCTCATCAATCTTCCGGAACTGATAAGGCCATCTGCTGTTGTACAGGAACTGCCTCAGATCATACCTGTTGTCCTCCGGCGAATAACTCTGCACCCCCCCCC